GAAAGATTTATGCCACCAATTTCAGAAACAGACGATCTTCTCTCAGCATTTATAGGGTTGGAGATGGAAACTGAGTCACTATCACAAATGAGAGGTGCGGATCCATGCTCCTTTTCTTGTTGAACTGACTCTGACTCGTTAAGAGAGTCTACATTATCATTCTCAACAACATTTCCATCAGGATCACGAGCGTCAATGCCAATCTCATTATCATGTGTATTGGATTCCACCTGATTTACCGAACCAGACGCGTAGTGCTGACTCTTTTCACTCTGATCAGTCAATGACTTTGTTCCACTCTTACCCATATCTAAAACGTTACCCTCACCAGTTTTAGCTTCTCTCTGCAGCAAAACAAGAAGTGTTTCTATCCCACCCGATGTTATAAATACCTCTGCAAACATCTGAGCTCTTGCAGCATTTGGCTGTACAACCAACCTATACATAAGGTGTAATACCCTCGCAACCTAAAAATACGAAAAATCAGAAATATAAAACATTGCTTTCGTTGAACAAGTGAAGTACATTTTGGTTGTCTAATAGTGATAAATTGAAAAACGCTAAGGAAACGTGTTACCTGATTTGGCTGTGGACTGTCAATTATGAAACCAAGCAATCGACGGAGGTCATCAGCAGCTAAAGAAGGAGATGCTGCTCCCATTACAAGTTCCACAATCACCAGAAGTTCATCAATCAGAGCATTAATTTCCCCCATTTGACGCTTATTCCCGTCAAGAGGAAAAGTGGTCGCAGAATCCTGCTCAGAAATCATCCAGTAGCATCTTCGACAGCCATCCAGAAGCAGCTGAATAGCATCGGCATTCCTCATTGCTTTTGCTTCAGTGAAAACCATATCTTGAAGAGATGACAATAGCTTCTTTTGGAGTCCGTAATTGCACAAGCTCCATATTTTCAAATCTAATAGCAGTGTACGAAAGAGCTGCACTTTAAGAACATGATTTATCTTCTGAGATTGGCAAAGCGAAACGATGGCAGCAACTATTTCCTCTTCTCCTATTCCGTCATGCTTCCTATCAAGAGATGCAAGTGACTGTAGAAGATAACTCAGAATTCTGGCCAGAATCTCGGGTCCCTGAGTACGACACAACTCTTCATTGTTCCCAGGATGTTGGATAGCAACTGAGATAATTCTAAATACAGGTGCAGCAAGAGAAACTGTGGACAAAGACAATGGAAGGTTTCCTGTACATGGCTCCAAGCTATCTTTATGCACATTGCTTACGGTCAAAGGAAGCAGAGACATGGGTCCTCCATGAGCTAGGGCCCAGAATGACTCCACTGCCTTCATTCTTGTTGCAACATGAACTTGTCCAAGGACCTCAGCTGGTCGCCTTAGAGTACCTTAACCAAGAAAAATATACAAAACAAATCAATTTGATATGTACGATCATGGAGAAGAAGCTAAATGTCGGAAGGAATTTATAAAGGGTTAAGAAAATCATTCAAGAGAGAAAGAGAAAATCATAGATAACAAATCAACCATGATAATCTGATAACATATAATAAAGCATATCAAAATCATTTGTGAATTAAACGTTTTCAATTTCAAACAACATTTGATCTTAAACTTAGAAAAAAGGTATAAGTATAGGCACCTGCTGCTCCAGAAAGTGAAGCATCCGGGCAAAATCGCCCACTTAGCAGACAAGGATGGTAAAGCAGGTGGGTATATCCTCCGATCTCTGCATCCAAAAGACTACTTTCCTCTGCAATATTACGTACATGGTCACTTGTAGCTAACCAAGGAAGGCCCGCCCCATTGCCAAAGCAAGGCAAAACATCCCCACCCCTAGAAGCCAAGCGTGCCATTCTTTCAGGACCAATCGGTTCCTTAAATATATAAACTGGTCCCATCTCCGCAAACAACGGACACTGACGACGGCGACGTTGTAGACCTGCCATAGTAGGAGGAGGATTTGTGCCAATGCAACAAAAAGAGAGGGGCTTGGATATACGAGGAAAATCAAATGGACGACTTTCGTACAAGGATCCATCAATATACAGCCGTAATTCACTCTCTGATTTCCCCATAAGTCCCTGCTTGCAGCTATGCTCGAGGCCGATAAAATACCAACACTGAGGCTTAAATGCATGAGTGAAATGCAGCGAAGACTTTCTTCCTTTCCCACTACCACTCTCAACCACCAGAAACTGAGCATGGAAATATGCTTCTATTCCCTGATTATCAGCGGATAAAAAACTGAACAAACGTGGCATATGAGCAGTACCTTCACCAGCGAGCGCACTCGCAGCCGCTGCAGCTGACATTGCAGATGTTTTCCCTGACTTGGCTGCTGCAGCAGCAGCAATTGCAGCTGCCGCAGTTGCAGCATTCAATGTATCAGCAAATGATTCAATATAGATCCATGTTGCAAATGCGTAGCCATTGGTAAAAGGCCAACGACTTTCTCCGGGACCAAGTAAGCCAGAGCTTTCACCATCAAATTCAAAAGTACAAGCAGGTCCCCTTGATTCCTTTCCACTCATTGCCTTCTCCAAAGCAAGCATCAACGGACTTGACCACGCTGTTGTAAGCGTTGTTTTCATAACCTCAAGCCACCTGTGTAAATCGTCGACACTAAGGGAGTGCCCAGCTAAATGTTGAATACATTGGAGCAAAACATCATTAGCATTCCATTTCATATCAACGTCCTTGGAAATTACCTCTTTCACTGATCGCAACAAAACCCCTAATAACCCTGCCGTCGAACACATAGCTCTGTTTCTCGTGCATGATCGTAAAATAACAAGCAATCCCCTAACCATACGAGTCCTTGGGGACATAAAATGATCGGTGTCACCTAAACCAGGAAGCCAGGGAATTAGCTCGCCAGAAACAATTGCAGCACGGGAATTTAACATGACACTAGGAGGGTTGCTATCTTCATCCTCTTCAAAACTCTCAACTCCACCCATGGTGGCAATAAGTGAATCAATAACAAGGAAAGCAGTGGTCTCTGACTCCTCTGCAGATCCAAAACTCTCAACACCGCTAACAACATTCTTTAGTTTGTCTAAGCTTTCAGGCTTCCCCATGATGGCTGAATCCACTAAATGCAGTAGCTCTGGAGAAACATTCGGAACTGTAGCCTTTGGCTTTTGCTTCTGCGGGGAATGAGCTGCCGAATATCCAGATTCTGGATGGTAGAGAGAATCCAGGTTAGTTGAAGACAAAGACTTCTCCATGGAATAAGCTGTCTCTCTCTCTGGTCCAGGGCTCGAAAGTCGGTCACTTTGCTCATCATCCAAAGGCATCAAATCATACGCCTCCTGAGTCCCAGATAAGTGATAAGTAACTCCTTCAGTGCCACCAAATGAGGACCTCCCATGATCAGAATTCGAAGTCCTTCCAGGTTCCTTACGGTCACCGTGTGATTCAGTTGCAGCCTCTTCCTGATTTCCCAGAGAAACTTGTTCAAAATCATCTTCCTTGAAGACTCTATCAGCTGAACTAATCCCTTGTAAAGCTGAATCATCCTTGGCAGTCATATCAGGATGATGAACAGAAGCTTCTGGTAGCTTTCTTTCTTCATCGTCTTCCATTTATCAACTTATGAAGAGTACAGTCATTCACAGCGTTCTCTCACCCACCACCTGTTAAACATCCGATGAAGTATAAGTTTAGCTTGTGAGGACTAAATTTGAGAACAATGCACCATGGAATCCACACTCACTTGGATCTACTAAAGTAACAACATATACGAAGTGAAAAATACAAAATTCGTCCCGTTAACTATTATAAGCTCAGGACTAGCAAAAGTTCAATCAGAGATCTCTGTCCATGGAAATGTGCAGATCTTAAAGAGGATCGATTAGGAAAATATTTCAAAATTCGTAAACAAAAATCCAGATTCAACGTATGTCAATGGAAGCATGAAACCCAGAAATGCTCACAGAAATCAATGCCGAAAGAGAATACGCACAGATCGGAGTGAAGAGATGTTCGAGTATAAAACCCAATGAAAGCGAATCGGAAGCAAGTTGAAATAGTCCACCGAATCTGGACGGATTCTCTAACCTCCGGCGCCGCAACGAGAATATGTAGTATTGGAGAAAGCGAAAGAGTCGAGAGGATGACGAAAGTAAAGAGAGAGGAGACGATCGGAGAAAGACTAGCGAAGGGAGGCGACTTGGGCGCGCGAGAGAGAGATTTGTTGATTTTACTGATTTAGGATTTACCAACTTCTCATTAAAGTCAATTAAGTAATTAACACTGAATTTACATAAGTATTTAGCTAATGTAACACAAATTTATTTCTTTTTATATGATAGAAAATCTCTCGACCTAGAAATATATCTTAGCTGGATCAAAACTAAATTTAGGTGTCATTGGCGAGATTCGAACTTGCGTTTGGGGTGTCAACAAGAAGAACGTTACCAGTTGAACTGTTGCATTTATCTGTTTTCTTCTTACAAATAAAATTATTACCTTATTTTAAGTGTGTCAAGTGAACCAGTATCATTATATGTAGGTCCGCCTTTGCCTAAAACATTAGTCATAAGTATTTGTTTTCATGGAAGCCATTGTTGGTGTTACACTTAGACCAAACAACAGATCTCTTTCTTTCTGTTTTTTACATATCATAAAATCATCCATCTCATCTGTATAAACACCATTAAGGCATTAACCAACCATTAATTGATTTTGAATATTCTTAGTATTTTATGGGCTATATATATTGAGCTCCAAATGTAACCAAGGCCCAATATCAATATGGAATACATTGATTTCTTCAGGCCCTAGCCACCTCATAAGGATAAAAATCTTACAAGTTTGAGAATTGAGATGTTTTCTGTATATTTTAATCATAAGGACAGGTCATCATGGTTAGTAGTTACTATGGTTTTTTGTGAAATTATTTCATTATCACAGAGCTTAATTTATTTAAATTTTAGTGTCATGAAATTACATGTTTTATTGGTTTGGGAAATTTTCCTCATTCGTACTAATAAAACAAAATTTAATAATTTAACAGTGACTAGTGTCTAGAGCGTTTCTTGACGGGAACGGCATGTAACGGATTTGTCTTATGCAATGTGATACCGAAGGTCTCGTCCATGTCCATGTCCAAGTCCTCACAAACGACGCCGTCTGGAAGCTTCCAGTCAAAGGAATGAAGAAGAGAAGCAAGCATGAGAGGAACTATCTTGACAGCCAAAGGCAATCCCGGACAAATTCTCCGTCCGGCTCCAAACGGTGTCAGCTCATAATCTCTGCCTTTCACGTCAATATCTTTTCCCAAAAACCTCTCTGGCTCGAACTCTGTCGGATTCTCCCACTCACTCGGGTCTCGTCCAATAGCCCACACGTTCACCAAAACCTGAGTGTCTTTAGGCACAAGGTATCCAAGAATCTCCACATCGGTTTTCGATTTTCGCGGGAGGAGAAGCGGAGCAGCTGGATGCAAACGGAAAGTTTCTTTAACTACAGCTTGTAAATACGGCAACCGTGAGATATCGGTCTCTTGCACAACACAGTTTTGGCCTATCACTTGATTGATTTCATCTTGAACTTTCGTCAGTTTCTCGGGGTTTCGAAGTAACTCTGCCATCGCCCATTCCACGGTACTAGAGTTTGTGTCCGTGCCGGCTGCAAACAAGTCCTGACACGTGCACGCACATATTATATTTATGACATACCGTCAGGATTAGATTGATGTGTTGGAATATGAAGATTGACAACAAGAAGTTTTTTTTATCTCAAAACTAATATGGGCACCTAGTTGATTATCTTGAATCTTGATGATGATCATATATTGGATTATTTTAATTAGTAAAGAACTTTAAAAATAATGATCGTAAGCTAAGACTTACGAGGAGAAGGTGTTCGATCTGAATTATGTTCAGTTCTGCTTCATCTCCTTGGTTGAGATCAATAAGCGCATCTAAAAAATCGCTGCTCGAAACATCTCCATCGTCCGTCCGCGACGAGTTTTCCGTAATCCGAGCATCGTAAAAACCTCGGAAAAGTTTAAACAACCTGTCCGAACAGCCCTTTAACTTTTTTCCATTACCTTGTAGGTCAAGAAACCTCAAAAATGGGTAGAAATTAGCAAGGTCAGGTTTCCCGATAGAGTCCATGACACCAGTCACCATGTCCTGAAAGACACTGGAGTTTTTCGAGTCGTAGTTACCAAGGTCGACTGAAAACAGAAGATTCGAAATGATATTGAGGGCCGTGACGAAGGATGCAAGAGAAATATCAACAACTTCTTCTCTGTCACTACTTTCACTCATGTAGTTAATAAGTTCTTGCACCTTCTTCATCCGCAGACCTTTGGTGGCCTCAATACGCTGCGGTGAGAACAACTGAGTCACCGACAGCTTCCTCAACAGCCTTGAAAACATGACATGAATAGATAAAAACTCAAGTCCGGTTAGCTCAAACCCGTTAGATGGAGATATGTTACTTGGGATGAACGACGCTTTATATCAACTACCATAAGTATTATCTAGTTCAGGGTTTCTTAAATCATCATGGTCAAAGATCTGGATCCTTTCTAGTTAATTCAAATAACAATCAGAGAAAAATCAGTTACCTCCAATGGGGAGACGACGGATGAAGCCAGGCAACGGAAAACTCATGATGATTGATGGATCGTATCGCTTCATTGAAGTACCGGCCAGACAAGATTTGGTCGTGAGTTCTAAGAACCTCTCTTGCAGCATCTCGTGAAGATATGACCACAGAGTTTAAACATCCAAGCCTAAGACTCATGACTGGTCCATAAGTATTTGAGAGGTCGGCGAATGAGCGGTGTGGGTTCTTTCCTACCAGGTGAATGTTTCCGATGATGGGTAACCGTGGAGGTCCAGGAGGCAGCGTGGCAGCCCAGCGAGAGCTCCGACGTCGGGATATTGTCGTGGTGAAGATAAGGAAACATGATAAGATAAAGCAAGAGAAAAGGAAGAGAGCTTGTCCTGAGATGATTTCATCCATCTGAGTTTCTCAAAGTGATGAAAAAAAACTACACATAAGAGTACATCCATCCCAATTATGTATATAAAGTTGACAAGATCTACCTACCGTCGATGGCTCCGAATTCTTGCTACTGGACCCCGCTTGTGATTAAAAACTCAAAAAAACAAATAAAAGTTTTGCAGCCAACCACACACCACCAGAAGAGCATCATTGCACAGCTTCTGATGGAGCTCTGTAGGTTTTTTTATCAATAAAAGAAATACGACTTTCGAGAAAGAAAAAAAGAAAACCAAAAATAATTTTCATAAAAAAAAAAATGATAATAATAATTAGTTGAAGAATGGATGATAAATGATAACATGTGTAGAATTTACCCTAAAGAGCCAATTGTATAATCTTTTCTTACAGAACCTATTTACATTTTACACAAAAGTTTAGGCCATATCATTTTCCTTTTTTTTTTTTTTTTTTCTGTTAAAGAGGTCAAGCTTGCACTTCTCTTTACAAAAAAAAAATGAAAAAGAAAAAGAAAATTGACATGGTTTCAATTTATATTATTATTATTTTCTTGTTTACAAAAGTTATTTTTTTTTTCTTTTTGTCTCGAAAATCGTATTTTTTATTAATAATAAATTTATAGAGCTCCATTATCCCAAGCTGTGGAATAATAATGCTCTTAACAAATTGTTTAATAATGCTCTTAACAAATTGTTTAAAAAACATTATAGAGCTCCATCATCCTGAGCTGTGCAATAATAATGCTTTGCTGCTCTTAACAAATTGTTTAACAATTTTTTATAATGCTCTTGACAATTGCAATTTATTAATGACGACACAAGTAAATATTCATTGTATATATTCGTATTCAATATTATTAAAGTAGACACAAAAACAAAATTGTATAAACAAATATCTTTCTTTATTAAAACTTATATCATTTTCTTTACGTAAATAAAATTTTGTCTGACACAAGCATTCATAGTGATAGTGGTACTGGTATAGTGGTATGGTACTTGTGCAACGGTGTTAAACACCAAAAGCCTTGGACCATTTCTAGGACGACGCCGTTATTATAATATTGCACATTAGAGGACAAACGACAGGTCGATCCATATATATATTTAGATTTCATCTTCTTGGAAATGTTGGATACGTACACTTGTTTTTATTGGAAGACAAAGATGTGTTGAGATCATCTTCTAGCTAGTCCTTGAGTTCGAAATCCCCAGCACCGTCCAAGTCATTGTTTTTTTTTTTTTTAATGTCCAAGTCATTGTTATTTCCCTCATTTGATCCCAACCGTTTTTTCCATTTCTCATGAGAACCGCTCGGTTCGTTTAAAGAAACCCAAAAGCGAAAGAATACAGTTGTTGCATAAGATTTGGTATTGGTTCTAAGTTATAACCAGTTTAAACTGAAACGTAAAATACAGACAACAGATCAATAAGGCTTAGCAAACAAAACAGAGCAAAGCATGACTCTTTTTGTCACTCACTTAAAGTTTCCCATCGGTTGATCATTATTTCCCCTCTTAAAAACCTTAATGGGAGCCATTAGTGTGTGTAATGTACTAACAAAAAAATTTGATGTATATATATGAGGGCTTGAAAAGAACCATTAATTGATTACGAAATTTCACTGCCACATCATTAGAAAAAAATAAAGTTCTACACCCGATTATGAAATTGTATCCGTACTAAAAAAAAAACAAATCCCTTCTCGGTTGTAAAATTTGTTTTATTAGCCATTTGAGACGATTATTAATTAACTGAGGTCACTAGAAATAGAAGAATAAATGGCTAATTTATGGCGCGTTTCTTGACCGGGACGGCATGCAACGGATTTGTCTTATGCAATGTGACACCGAAGGTCTCCTCCATGTCCAAGTCCTCAGAAACGACGCCGTCAGGAAGCTTCCAGTCAAAGGAATAAAGAAGAGAAGCAAGCATGAGAGGCACTACCTTCACAGCCAAAGGCAATCCCGGACAAATCCTCCGTCCGGCTCCAAACGGTGTCAGCTCATAATCTCTGCCTTTCACGTCAATATCTATTCCCAAAAACCTCTCTGGCTCGAACTCTGTCGGATTCTCCCACACACTCGGGTCTCGTCCAATAGCCCACACGTTCACCAGAACCTGAGTGTCTTTAGGCACAAGGTATCCAAGAATCTCCACATCGGTTTCCGATTTTCGCGGGAGGAGAAGCGGAGCAGCTGGATGCAAACGGAAAGTTTCTTTAACTACAGCTTGTAAATACGGCAACCGTGAGATATCGGACTCTTGCACGACACCGTTTTGGCCTATCACTTGATTGATTTCATCTTGAACTTTCGTCAGTTTCTCGGGGTTTCGAAGTAACTCTGACAATGCCCATTCCACGGTACTAGAGTTTGTGTCCGTGCCGGCTGTAAACAGGTCCTGATCACATATACACACATATTATATACATCGTTGAAATCGGATATATTGAATTCGACTATGTCTCAAAAATAGTAGAACAACACTTGGTAACATTTTAAAAATAGGTCGAAACGTATTTTTTGACACACCGTCAGGAGATTTTTTTTTTTTTTTTTTTTTAAAGAATCTCAAAACTAATATATGGGCACCAAGTTGATCATCTTGGTTGATTCATTTGTTGGATTATTCTAATTAAGTGATGATTAAAAGCTAATTAAGACTTACGAGGAGAAAGTGTTCGATATCAATTATGTTGAATTCTGCTCCATCTCCATCTCCTTGATTGAGATCAATAAGCGTATCGAGGAAATCTCTGCTCGTAACATCTTTATCGTCCGTCCGCGATGAGTTTTCCGTGATCCGAGCATCGTAAAACCCTCTGAAAGCTTTAAACAACCTCTCCGAGCAGCCCTTGAACTTCTTTCCATTACCTTGCAAGTCAAGAAACCTCAGAAATGGGTAGAAGTTAGCTAGGTCTGGAGCTCCGGCAGAAGCCATGACACCATTCACAATGTCCTGAAAGACACTGGAGTTTTTCGAGTCGTAGTTACCAAGGTCGACTGAAAACAGAAGATTTGAAATGATATTGAGGGTTGTGACGAAGGATGCACGAGATATATCAACAGCTTCTTCTCTCTCACTGCTTTCACTCATGAAGTTGATAAGTTCTTGCACCTTCTTCATCCGCAGAGATTTGGTGGCCTCTATACGCTGCGGTGAGAACAGGTGAGTCACCGACAGCTTCCTCAACAGCCTTAAACATAACATAAATAGAAAGAAGGTCTTTTAGCATTAGATCAAAACTCATCAAGTCCGGTTAGCTCAAACCAGTTAGTGATCTATATGTCCTTCCAGTGCCCAGTGCCCAGTGCTACCGTATTTAATTTCATTAAAGTCCAGTTCCAAGATTTGCAACTAGTTAAGAAAAGAAAAATGAAAATCAGTTACCTCCAACGAGGAGACGATGGATGAAGCCAGACAATGGAAAAATCTTGATGATTGATGGATCGTACTGCTTCATTAAAATACCGACCAGACAAGATTTGGTCGTGAGTTCTTAGAACCTCTCTTGCAGCTTCTGGTGAAGTTATGACCACTGAGTTTAAACATCCGAGCTTAAGACTCATGACTGGTCCATATGTTTTTGAGAGGTCAGCGAATGAGTGGTGTGGGTTCTTTCCTACCAAGTGAATGTTTCCGATGATGGGTAACCGTGGAGGTCCCGGAGGCAGAGTGGCAGCCCCGCGAGAGCTCCGTCGTCGGGATGTTGTGGTGGTGAAGATAAGAAAACATGATAAGATAAAGCAAGAGAAAAGGAACAGAGCTTGTCCTGAGATGATATCCATCTGAGTTTCTCAAGTGATTAAAAAATACATCCTAATTAAGTATTTAAAGTCTACAAAAAGGAAAAATTTAATTATTTATCATGCAGTTCCAAGATCTACCTATCGATAGGATGGGCTCTCCTGCTAGTGGAACCCCCTTGTGAATAAAAAGTCAAAAAAAACAAAAAACAAATTGTGGCCAAACTAGATACGACGTACACGCGTAAACAAATCGTTATGAATCGTATAAGTCCAAACCTTATTTTATTATATAAACTCTCATTTGTTATGTAATGATGATTAATATGAAAATTATATTCGCATACATAGTGGTTTTGTATTTGTGCAACGTAATACCAAATCCTTGGTCCACCACGCTTAATTGTCTTATTTCTTTGCTAATGGACATTAGAGACCAAACGGCAGATTGATCCATATATAAATATATGTACTGTATATTTCATAGTCATGTAGATCTCATCTTCTTGATAATATTGGATACGTACACTTGTTTTTATCGGAAGACGAAGACTTTTAAAACCATTTTCTTGTCCTTACTTCGCAATCCCCCTGCACCGTCCATTTTTTTTCCATTTCTCATGGAACCGGTTCGTTTATATTAAGAAACCCAAACCTAAAGTAGTACTATTTCTTATCAGGAGACATATTTTCCATCAATCTTTAATAGGAGCCATTAATGTGTGTAATGCATTAACAAACAAAATTTGATGTATATATATGTGGGGACTAGAAAAACAAAACACTGATTAATTATGAAATTTATTCACTGCCACTTCATGAGAAAAACAAAATCTATAGCCGTACTTAAACAACAAAATCTCCTCTAGGTTGTAACTTTTTTTATTCTCCAGCAGAGACGAATTTTTTTTATTTAATTCAGGTCATTCACTACTATATTTTGGTTTGTGGCTAATTGATGGCGCGTTTCTTGACCGGAACGACGTGTAACGTATTGGTTTTACGCAATGTGATACCGAAGCTCTCGTCCATATCCAGGTCCTCAGAAACGGCGCCGTTTGGAAACTTCCAGTCAAATGAATAGAGAAGAGAAGCAAGCATGAGAGGCACCATCTTCATAGCCAAAGGTAATCCCGGACACATTCTACGTCCAGCTCCAAACGGTGTTAGCTCATAATCTCTGCCTTTTACATCAGTATCTTTCCCCAAAAACCTCTCTGGCTCGAACCGGGTCGGATTCTCCCACACGTTTGGGTCACGTCCTATGGCCCACACGTTCACCAGAACCTGAGTGTCTTTAGGCACCATGAATCCAAGAACCTCTACGTCAGCTTCTGCTTTTCGCGGCACCAGAAGCGGAGCAGCTGGATGTAACCGGAAAGTTTCCTTCACAACCGCTGCTAAATACGGCAGTTCCGAGATATCAGATTCTTCAACACCACCTTTTTGACCAATCACACGATCGATCTCTTCTTGAACTTTCGCCATTGTTTTAGGGTTTCGAAGTAACTCTGACAATGCCCATTCCACGGTACTAGAGTTTGTGTCCGTGCCCGCTGTAAACAGGTCCTGCAAGATAAAGTCATGTGATCCATATTACCGTTTTATTGTAATGATTACGTCTTTTTTGTTTTGAATTTGAATTTATGCGATTATAAATATGGTAAGACTGACCAAGAGAATGTGTTCAATATCGTAAGTAGTGAGCTCTGCTTCATCTCCTTCGGTGAGATCTAGAAGCACATCCACGAAATCTCTGTCCGAGACGTCTTTAGGGTTATTATGTAATGATTTTTCCGCTATTTTAGCATCGAAGAATGTACGGAAAACCCTGATCAACTCGTCACAGCAGTCCTTCATCTTCTTTCTGTTACCTTGCAGGTCAAGAAACCCCATAAATGGAAAGTAGTTAGCAGCGTCTGGACTACCAACAGCTTCCATGATACCAGTCACAGTGTCCTGAAACCCATTAGACTTCTTCGAGTCGTAGCTACCCATATCCGCCGAAAACAGAATGTTCGATGTGACATTAAGAGCTGTGACGAAAGTTGCAAGAGATATATCAACAGCTTCTTCTCTCTTGCTACTTTCATTCATGAAGCTCAGAAGCTCCTGCACCTTCTCCATCCGAAGAGCTTTAGTGGCTTCGAGACGCTGCGGCGAGACCAGATGATTCGCCGTCAGTTTTCTAAACAGCCTGAAAGAAACAAACAAGTATTGATTACGTTCTCTTTTGCATATGTTTTAGATCCACTACACAACAAATCTTGGTTAATACTGAAGATTGGCGTAATATTAATCGAACAAATATAGAAATATTGCAGCAAGTTTACACCAACAACAAAACAAAAAGCTATATACGTAATATAATTCTTTTGATTTTGGTCATTTAATTTCTATAGCCGCAAAATGACTAAACATACAAAACTACTTCATAGAATTATCTGACTGATATAATCCTACAGATTGAAATTCTGTGAGAAAATTAAAACCATAAAAAAATTATAAAATCAGTATTAATTATACCTCCAACGAGCCGACGAAGAAGGAAGCCAGATAAGAGAAGCCTCCTGGTGATTGATGCACCGTATGGCGTTAGTGGCTTTACGGCCAGACAAGATTTGGTCGTGTGTTCTTAAAACCTCTCTTGCACCTTCCGGTGAAGTTACAATCACTGTGTTTAAACTTCCAAATTTAAGACTCATGATTGGTCCGTAAGTTTTTGAGAGGTCTGCGAATGAGTGGTGGGGGTTTTTGCCGACTTGGTGAATGTTTCCGATGATTGGTAACCGCGGAGGTCCCGGAGGCAGCTTGGAAGCTGGAGGAGACTTCCGTTTGGATCTTATGGTGGAGAAGATAAGGACACATGATAAGATTAAGCAAAAGAGGAGAAGTAGAGCTTGTCCTGAGATAATGTCCATCTTTTCCTCTTTAGGAATGAAATATTAATTAAAGCTTCTTTGTAAATATGGTGGTTCAAGCCATTCAGTTATTTATAGTGTACAAGGCATTCACAAATATCTATTGCGCTATCTATGGTCCAAAATCATCCTACCAGTTATGACGTCTGAATTGATACATGTGGCCGAGACTTGTCAGGAAAAGTCGAATAGTCAACTTTAAGATTATTCTACCGGCGACCAATCAGTAGAAACAATAAATTCAGTCTATAATTGATTCCAATTTACGTCATCAATGTTGGTGCCGGTTCTAAATAATTGATTCCAGTTTACGTCATTCATGTTAGTGCCGGTTGTAAATACATTAGTTGAAGGTTCAAAGCAGGTTAAAGAAAAAATGTTACATTTAAACTACCAACATTGTTTTTAAGAAAATTTAAACTACCAACATTGTTATTCCATTCCTGTCGTAATTTTCAGTGAATTTGCAATATTAACACCAAAATAAAAACAAGAAAGTATTGAAAACAAAATTATTTGACAGGAGTACAAACGGAACAAAATGATTTATTTGGGAGGTTGAAAACCCCTACTAAGCCGACAGCACTAATTTCTTCATGGATACGGCACATTTACTACGTTTGCTAACTAATGGGTGCGTTTCTTGACCGGAACGGCATGTAACGGTTTGGTCTTATGCAATGTGAGACCAAAGGTCTCGTCCAAGTCTAACTCCTCAGAAACGACGTCGTTCGCAAGCTTCCAGTCAAAGGAATAAAGAAGAGAAGCAATCATGAGAGGCACTGTCTTCACTGCCAAAGGCAATCCCGGACAAATCCTCCGTCCAGCTCCAAACGGTGTAAGCTCATAATCTCTACCTTTCACATCAATATTTTTCCCCATAAACCTCTCTGGCTCGAACCGGGTCGGATTCTCCCACACGTTGGGGTCACGTCCTATGGCCCACACGTTCACCAAAACCTGAGTGTCTTTAGGCACAAGGTATCCAAGAACATCTACGTCAGCTTCTGCTTTTCGCGGCACGAGTAGCGGAGCAGGCGGATGTAACCGGAAAGTTTCTTTTACTAACGCTTGTAAATAAGGTAATTCGGTGATATCAGACTCTTCAACAACACCTTTTTGACCAATCACACGATGAATCTCCGCCTGAGCTTTCGCCATTGTTTTAGGGTTTCGAAGTAACTCTGACATTGCCCATTCCACGGTACTAGAGTTTGTGTCTGTTCCCGCTCCAAACATGTCCTGGTACGTTAGAACATATGATCCAGTATCATTTAAATGATCTTGGTTATGTTCCTTTTCTTCCATATGTTAATTCATATGATTATAGTATTATAACATGCTAATCAAGACTTACCAAGAGAAGGTGTTCAATATCGTTAGTCTTGAGCTCTGCTTCATCTCCTTGGGTAAGACGGAGAAGCGCATCCAGAAAATCGTCCGAGACATCATTATCGTTATTCCGCAATCTTTTTTGAGCTATTTTGGCATTGATGAACCCACGGAACGCCTTACACAACCTGTCCGTGCAAACTTTTATAGACTTCGTATTACCTTGCAGGTCAAGAAACCTAAGAAACGGGAAGTAGTTAGCAAGGTCTGGATTCCCGACAGCTTCCATGAGACCAGTCACCGCGTCTTGAAACCCACTAGGTTTTTTTGAATCGTAGCTTCCAAGATCGACCGAAAACAGAATGTTCGATATGATATTAAGAGCTGTGATGAAAGATGCACGAGAAATGTCAACAGCTTCTTCTCTCTCGCTGCTTTCGTTCATGAAGCTCACAAGTTTCTTCACTTTGCTCAACCTCAAGGCTTTCGTGGCTTCGATACGTTGTGGAGAGAATAACAGATTCACGGACAGTTTTCTCAACATTCTTCAAAATAAAATAGAGTCAACCACCACCCATTAATTTAATTAGTCAGCAAATTTTTGGCTTAAGACAATGAAATCGCATGAAATGAAAAATTATACGCGCAGTTTAGTAGGTGTAGTTCACATTAGAAAATAAAAAACCTAAAGTATAGAATAATATATACCTTCAACAAATAAAATAAACACGGACTATATTTTATTTTACTTAACTTTATTATTTCGCGGAATGACTAAACACACATTGCGATTACATAGAACTAAGTGATTGTTATAATCATTCAAAATCGTAGAATCCCTATACTGTCAAACACATTTTTATGAGAAAACAAAACATAGATATTTAATTATACCTCCAACGAGCAGATGATGGAGGAAGCCAAACAATAGAAACCTCGTGGTGATTGAGGGACCGTATCGAGTTAGTATGGCTACGGTAAGACAAGATATGGTCGTGTGTTCTTAAAACCTCTCTTGCAGCTTCTGGTGAAGCTATGACCACTGTGTTCAGACTTCCAAACTTAAGACTCATGATTGGTCCATAAGTTTTTGAGAGGTCGGCGAATGAACGGTGTGGGTTTTTACCGACAAGGTGAATGTTTCCGATGATGGGTAGCCGTGGAGGGCCTGGAGGCGTGACCACCGCCCCAAGGGATTTCCGTCTGGATCTAGTGGTGGAGAAGATAAGGAAACATGGCAAGATAGAGCAAAAGAGCAAGAACAGAGCTTTTCCTAAGATGATCTCCATTTTTTCTTTTTCACAAGTGATATTTTCTTTGAAATGGAATATCAAGCTTCGTGCCACATAATTATATATCAGTGTAAAAAGGAAAAAAATTCAAAATTTTCTACTCAGTTTGCTATTTAGGGTCAAAATACATCTACCGACCGGTGATGGGAATTGAATTGATACAAGTGGCGCGCTCACGACAAGTCAAAACCCATCTTTCTTGAAAATTAAAAGACCCCCGACCAATCACAAGAGATACGTGTACGTGTATGGGTCATTGTAACCGAATAATAGCAAAATGTTTTTGTACTACGCAATTAAATCTCCGAGACGATAAACTTCTAGTCTTATCGCACTATTTTTTTCTCTTTAGTTTATTTGATTTGTTTTAAGTATTTAATTATTGGGACGTACAACGGAACAAAATGATTTTAATCACGAGATTAAAAACCATTGTTTAGAGCGATAGCACAGATTGTTTGATAGGCACGGCACGTAGAGGTTTGGCTTTCCGCAAGGTGACACCGAATGTGTCGCTCATATCAAGCTCATGTCCATGATTCCAGTTTACGTCATTCATGTTAGTGCCGGTTCTAAATACATTAGTTGAAGGTTCAAAGCAGGTTAAAGAAAAAATGTTACATTTAAACTACCAACATTGTTTTTAAGAAATTCAAACTACCAACATTGTTTTTCCATTCCTGTCGTAATTTTCAGTGAATTTGCAATATTAACACCAAAATAGAAACAAGAAAGTATTGAAAACAAAATTATTGACACGAGTACAAACGGAACACAATGATTTACTTACGACGTTGGAAACCCCTATTAAGCCGACCGCACTAATTTCATCATGGATACGGCACATTTACTGCGTTTGCTAACTAATGGGTGCGTTTCTTGACCGGAACGGCATGTAATGGTTTGGTCTTATGCAATGTGAGACCAAAGGTCTCGTCCATGTCCAACTCCTCAGAAACGACGTCGTTCGGAAGCTTCCAGTCAAAGGAATAAAGAAGAGAAGCAAGCATTAGAGGCACTATCTTCACAGCCAAAGGCAATCCTGGACAAATTCTCCGTCCTGCTCCAAATGGTGTTAGCTCATAATCTCTGCCTTTCACATCAATATCTTTTCCCATAAACCTCTCTGGCTCGAACTTCATCGGATTTTCCCACACACTCGGGTCTCGTCCAATAGCCCACACGTTCACCAAAACCTGAGTGTCTTTAGGCACAAGGTATCCTAGAACCTCCACGTCAGCTTCTGCTTTTCGCGGCACGAGTAGGGGAGCAGCTGGATGTAACCGGAAAGTTTCTTTCACAACCGCTGCTAAATAGGGCAGTTCCAAGATATCAGATTCTTCAACAACACCTTTTTGACCAATCACACGATCGATCTCCGCCTGAGCTTTAGCCAATGTTTTAGGGTTTCGAAGTAACTCTGACATTGCCCATTCCACGGTACTAGAGTTTGTGTCTGTTCCCGCTCCAAACATGTCCTGGTACATTAGTACATATGATCCATTATCATTTAAATTATCATTTTCTTATATATGTTAATCCATATGATTATAGTATTACAACATGGTAATTAAGACTTACCAAGAGAAGGTGTTCAATATCGTTAGTGTTTAGCTCTGCCTCATCTCTTTCGGTAAATTGGAGAAGCGCATCCACAAAATCGATGTTCGATACTTCGTTATGGTTATTCCGCAATAGTCTTTCTGCTATTTTAGCATTGATGAACCCACGGAACGCCATAAACAACCTGTCCGTGCAAACTTTTATAGACTTCGTATTACCTTGCAGGTCAAGATACCTCAGAAAAGGGAAGTAGTTAGCAAGGTCCGGATTCCCGATAGCTTCCATGAGACCAGTCACCGCGTCTTGAAACGCACTTGATTTTTTCGAATCGTAGCTACCAAGATCGACCGAAAACAGAATGTTCGATATGATATTAAGAGTTGTGATGAAAGATGCACGAGATATATCAACCGCTTCTTCTCTCTCGCTGCTTTCACTCATGAAGCTCACAAGTTCCTTCATCTTTCTCAACCTCAAGGCTTTCGTGGCTTCGATACGTTGTGGAGAGAATAACAGATTCACTGACAGTTTTCTCAACATTCTTCAAAAAAAAAAACAAAGTCAACCACCACCCATTAATTTAATTTGTCAACAAAATTTTGGCTTAAGATAACGAAATCGCTTGAAATGAATAATTATACGCGCAGTTTATTATGGTACATATTTGACTTATAAACATCAGAATAAGTTCACATTAGAAAGGAAAAACCTAAAGTATAGAATAATACCTTCAACAAACAAAATAAACACACTTTATTTTACTTAAACTTTATTATATTGCGGAATGACTAAACACACATTGCGATTACATAGAACTATGTGATTGTTATAATCATTCAAAATCGTAGAATCCCTATACTGTCAAACACATTTTTATGAGAAAACAAAACATAGATATTTAATTATACCTCCAATGAGCAGATGATGAAGGAAGCCAGACAACAGAAACCTTGTGGTGATTGAGGGACCGTATCGAGTTAGTAGGGCTACGGTAAGACAAGATCTGGTCGTGTGTTCTCAAAACCTCTCTTGCAGCTTCTGGTGAAGCTATGACCACTGTGTTCAGACTTCCAAACTTAAGACTCATGATTGGTCCATAAGTTTTGGAGAGGTCGGCGAATGAACGGTGTGGGTTCTTACCGACAAGGTGAATGTTTCCGATGATGGGTAGCCGTGGAGGTCCTGGAGGCGTGACCACCGCCCCGGGGGATTTCCGTTTGGATCTAGTGGTGGAGAAGGTAAAGAAACATGCTAAGATAGAGCAAAAGAGCAAGAACAGAGCTTGTCCTAAGATGATCTCCATTTTATCTTTTCACAAGTGATATTTTCTTTGAAATGGAATATCAAGCTTCATGCCACATAACTATATATCAGTGTAAAAAGGAAAAAAAAATCAAATTTTTCTACTCAGTTTGCTATTTAGGGTCCAAATACATCTACCGGGCGGTGATGGGATATGAAATGATACAAGTGGCGCGCTCACGAAAAGTCAAAAACCATCTTTCTTGAAAATTAAAAGACCAGCGACCAATCATAAGAGATACGTGTACGTGTAGGGGTCATTGTAACCGGTCGTTATCAAATAGTAGCAAAATGTTTTTTGAGCTACGCAACTAAATCTCGGAGACGATAAACTTCTGGTCTTATCGCACTATCTTTTTCTTAGTTTATTTGATTTGTTTATGTGTTTATATAATTATTGGGACGAGTACGTACAACGGAACAAAATGATTTAACTACGAGATTAATACCATTGTTTAAGGCGATAGCACAGATTGTTTGATAGGCACGGCACGTAGAGGTTTGGCTTTCCGCAAGGTGACACCGAAGGCGTCGCTCATGTCCATGTTTTCAGGGAAGACACCGTTTTGAAGCTTCCAGTCAAAGGAATAGAGAAGAGACGCGAGCACCAGAAACATTGTTCTTAGAGCCATTGGCGAACCCGGACACATTCTTCGTCCTGATCCAAACGGTATCAGCTCGAAATCTTTGCCTTTCACATCAATTTCTCGCAACAAGAACCTTTCTGGTTCGAATCTCGTTGGATTCTCCCACACGCTCGAGTCTCGTCCCATCCCCCAGACATTCACCAAAACCTAAAAATTAAAATAAGGTTAACGTATTTCCCAAGTTAGGTCTAGGTAGTGAATCTTCACGTGATGTGAAATACCGAGGCGTTTTTAGGAACGAGGAAACCAAAGATGTGGGCATCGGATTCTGCTCTTCGAGGGATCAAAGGAGCTGCAGGATGCAAACGAAGAGTCTCTTTCACGATTGCTTGCAAGTAAGGCAGCTTCGGGATATCAGATTCTTGAACGACACCGTTTTGACCTATCACTTGCCGTATCTCACTCTGAGCTTTCACCATCTTCTCTGGGTTACGGATTAACTCTGACATTGCCCACTCCATTGTAGTAGAGTTCGTGTCTGTGCCCGCTGTGAACAAATCCTATATATGTGTGTATGGTTAATAAAGCTAAACACATCACCCACGGAATGGGAATTACATACTTTAACTTCATAAATATATGATCAAGACTTACTTGAACAAAGTGTTTGATAATATTTATGCTGAGTTCTGCTTTGTTTTCCTGTGTAAGATCCAGAAGGGTATCTAGGAAATCGAAGCTCGAAATCTCTTTACGGTATGTCTGAGTTGATCTTTTAGCCATCCGAGCATCGATAAGTTCTTGAAAAACCTTAAATAGTATCTCAGTGCAAACCGTTGCTTCTTTACGGGTACCTTGAAGGTCAAGAAACCTAAGAAAGGGGAAATAGTCACCGGCGTTGGGTTTTCCCGTGACATTCATCAATCTAATCACCGTGTTGTGAAATAACTCGTGAGGTGACTTGGTATCATGAATCGCTAAATCCGTAGAGAACAAAGCATTTGAGATGATATTGAGAGCTGTGACGAAGAAAGCACGAGCCATGTCAACAGCTTCTCCTCTCTCACTACATTTGTTGATGAAACTCAAAAGTTCCTCCACTTTCTTCTTCCTAAGAGACTCCATAGACTTTAGGCGTTGCGTTGATAACAAATGCGTTGTTGCTACCTTTCTCAGAAACCTGAATTGATATGGATAAATACATATGTATACAAACAATGTTTAAAATCTACACCTTCTACACCTGTAATTTACAAACTAATAATAATTTAAAGAGGAATACCTAAAAAAATCATCAAAAGTAAATTTTTGATCCAAAACTCCCATCACTAGTTTTCTTTTCCCAAAAATACTAAAAATATTTTTTTTAAAGTGATGTTGAGAAAGAAAAAGAATATACCTCCACCGAGCTGAGGGAGGACCCCATGCAAAAGAAAATTCATGGTGGTCAAAGACTCGAACAGGATCGTTGAAGGTTCGAGCAGATAAAAGATGGTCTTGTGTCTTTAGTGCCTCTTTTGCTGCTTCCGGTGAAGATATGACTATGGTGGTTAAACTTCCAAGCTTTAGACTCATTATTGGTCCATAAGTTTTCGAGAGAGCCGTGAGCGAACGGTGAGGATTGTATCCAACTTGGAATATGTTTCCAACCACTGGGAGCTTTTGAGGACCCGGCGGAAGTTTGGCTTGACCACTGCCGTTAGAATTGCTTCTCGTTTTTACGGTGATGAAGGAGAAAAAGAAAAGGAAGCATGGTAAGACAAAACAGAGGATCAGATACAGGACATCCATTTCAGTTCACGACCGATTTGCTCTCTTTGCTTTTTTTTTTCATATCTTTATTATAGCTAGTGAAAAAATTAGATTAGATCGTGTCGTCATTTCAGAAAAACAAAAATATCACAGTTTTCTAGACAATCACGTCCGCGGATCTGTAACAGCATTTGTAACGCTTGAAGAAATCAAGAAACCATTCGGTTTCTCGGTGGACCGACACTTGTCAATGTGTTTATAACACGTAAATATATATTTCAGAAACCATGTACAATCACATAACCACCGAAGAGATCTCAATATCTTGGATATACTTTTTTGTTGTTGTTGAAAGTAGCCATTTTAAAATTTAATGATTTTTTCTGAATCCCAACGTCTTTAGTTCTATTGACCGACAAGGACTCTTATTACATAATGACACTGAAAAATTATTAAGGCGATATTAATGTAGGTTTCTTAATAGGTACGGCACAGAGAGGTTTGGCCTTGTGTAAGGTAAGACCAAAGACCTCACTCATGTCCATATTTTCTGGGACGACACCGTTTTGAAGCTTCCAGTCAAAGGAATAGAGAAGCGAGGCAAGCACCATGGACATTGTCTTAAAAGCCATTGAGATTCCTGGACACATCCTTCGTCCCGATCCAAACGGTATCAGCTCGAAATCTTTGCCTTTCACATCGATTTCTCGTAACAGGAACCTTTCTGGCTCGAACTTCATTGGATTCTCCCACACACTCGAATCTCGTCCTATCGCCCACACGTTCACGAAAACCTAATCTCGAAAATCAAAGAACGAGCGAGAGATAAGTTTTTAACCGAACCGAACCAAATTTTCCATCTAGCCTGTTGGTTCTAGGTGTATATCATCAAACCAAGTAAAACAATCCAGATTCAGACCGAGAGTAAACAAAAACAAGCTATGACTACGTTAACGTGCATGCCAAGCTACTTAGAGGGGGGAAAAGGGAAATAAACCTGGGCGTTCTTAGGGACGAGGAAGCCGAGGATTTGGACATCAGATTCTGATTTTCTTGGGATCAAAGGAGCTGCAGGATGCAAACGAAGAGTCTCTTTCACAATTGCTTCCAAGTAAGGCAGCTTCGGGATATCAGATTCTTGAACGACACCGTTTTCACCTATCACTTGCCGTATCTCACTCTGAGCTTTGACCATCTTCTCCGGTTTACGAATTAACTCCGACATTGCCCACTCCATTGAACTAGAGACTGTATCTGTCCCCGCAACAAACAAATCCTGTCACAAAAAAGAAGAAGAAAAAGGTAACAAATCCACGGTACTGCTCAAAGTATTTTAGAATCTTTATCATCATAAGTGTTTTGCAAGACTTACGAGAAGCATGTGTTTGATATCATTCATGGTGAACTCTGTTTCGTTTTGTTGTGTAAGATCCAGGAGAGAATCTAATATATCGATAGTCGAAGCCTCGTTAGGCTCTGTCTCTTTCTGAGTCACTCTTTTGTCCATCCTTGCATCAATAAATTCTTGGAAAACCCTAAATAATCTCTCAATGCAGAGCGTCGCTTCTTTTCTGCTTCCTTGCAAATCAAGAAACCTCAGAAACGGGAAAAAGTCTCCTGCGTTGGGTTTCCCAGAGATCTCCATCAGGTAAACCACCGCGTCATAGAATTCGTAAGACGACGAGTTAGATTCATACGTGGCCAAATCTACGGAAAGCAGAGCGTTTGAGATGATATTGAAAGATGTGACGAAGAGAGCACGAGCCATGTCAATAGCTTCTCCTCTCTCGCAAAATTGGTTTACTACGCTCACAAGTTCCTCCACCTTTCTCATCCTTAGAAATTGAATAGCGTCTAGGTTTTGCGGCGACAACAAAGTTTTCGTTAATGTTTTCCTCAAGAATCTGAAGATGCATACAAACAGAACTTCAACAAAGTTTTGTCTCAAAGTACAGATCCATTAGTACGGGGCTTATTTAATTTTGGACTTTGTTGTGATTAAAAGTGTCTCTTTACTTTTGGTTTAGTTTCATGTATAAATTTTGATTTCTTGGATATGAAAACGCAAAATAACTCTTTACAAAATTATAGTTTTTGGTTTATTTTTGTTGGTTTATACAAATGATTTCAGTCACAAAAAGAGTCTTGTTCATAGATAGAGTTGATACCTCCAATGATCCGACGGAGGAATCCAGACAATGGAATGTTTGTGGTGATCAAAGGCTCTAAGCGGGTCGTTATAGGTCCGAGCGGACAAGGCATGTTCGTGTGTTTTAAGTGCCTCTTTTGCTGTTTCTGGTGAAGATATAACCACAGCGGTTAACTTTCCAAGCTTCAAACTCATTATAGGTCCGTACGTTTTCGAAAAGGCAGCAACTGAACGGTGAGGATTAAAGCCGAGCTGGAATATGTTTCCGACCAAAGGCAGTCTTGGTGGACCAGGCGGAAGTGACCCTCGGCCGGAGCTCCTCCGCGTTTTTGCGGTGGTGAGGAAGACAAATAAGATTGCCAAGAGAAAACAGAGGGGCAGAGACATGGCCGGAGTTAGTGAGAGGTCCATTTAATTTGCACGACCCCTTTTATTTTGTATCTCCTCTTCTTGCTTGAAGAAATTGGAGAATGGCTACAAAAATATAACTCCATCATGCATTTTTATATTCATATTTTCGAAGTAATTATTTTTTTAAAAGAAGATATTGGGGGAATCAAGTTCGCCTACATCGATGTTAGTTGCGTGGTGTGATGTTTCTCTTGTTGCTTATAAACACCTAGAAAGACTTACGAGTTCTAGAAGTTTGTTTCTTGTCATGCACAGTTATGGAAAGTTGGAAAGTTAACTACGTACCAAATTGTTGTAAACCAAATTAAAGTGTTTAAGCGAATGACTAAAAATGTAGTATAGTGATTATTAATAACTAATGATTTATACTATTAGTGTTGTCATGTGTCAATGTGCTACTACTTGATATATTTAAATCCGGAAAATGTATATTGTAGATGGAAAAAATGTCAAAACTAAACGAGGACAAGTACTACTATGATTCTAAAACTATATTAATGACACATGGGAGAACAAGACACCAGCCTGCAACATTTATCACATTAATTACTATTTGGCAGCTTAACCACGTGTAGTTAGGTGTACGTTGCCCTCTTTATCTCGTGTTAGCTGTATTTTGTTCCGATCCGTTGTTAGGTTAAGCTGCTGGATGTGCATATCTTGATGTTTGTACGTGTTTACACAATAGAGTATTACAAATTTACAACTCTTAATTTATGTTTGTACGTGTTTACACAATAGAACACACAATAGAGCATTGCAAATTTGCAACTCTTAATTTATGTGAAGTTGGGGACCACAGTCACGGACCCCTACAAGTGCTGGCTGTAACGTTTCCGGCTACATAATAATTTTTGTTTAAAAAGGAAGTTAAATGAGTGGAACTCACATGAGCAATTCTAATTTTCTTGTATTACTCATCACTACTTCTCCTTCTTCTTATCGAATCTCCATTTTCTTTTTGAAACAAATACATGAAAAAAGTACATCTGAATCTGCAAAAGGCTTTGTGTTTGTCGCTTTTCTTTTTGCCTTTTTATGTTTTCCATAGATTCCCTTTTCAAGTTTCTAACGATGTTACCAAAGTCAAACCCCTACTAACTTACCCCTTTAATCTATCCCTATTAACAAAAAACATTATCAGTATATCCCCCCACTTCGAATGGCCTCAATATGAAGTGGATTTACGATTGTTTCTCCTTTTGAAGAGCTCTCTCAATGATGTTAAAAGTAGCTTTGACCTTTTTTTCCCCTCTGAGAGAAATTAAATTTTAAGAGATGGTGGCATAAAGGAAACTCGGAAAAGGGGAAACCCAAAAAGACAAACAAACCAAACCAAACCCACATACGTAAGAAAATCCAATAAGATTCAGACCAAAGCGATAAATGAAAAGGTCAAATTCCCATCACCAGAAAAAGCTTATTTTCGCTGACGTCACCGACACGTTTGCATACAAAAGATTCAGATTCTAAGGAAACATTATACTACAAAACTATATCCCGCTTAATCAGACGTTAAGCTGCCAATAGTCAAAACCAATGATTAAACTCGTAGCTAAACTGATTAACATATTCATCAGGGTGATTTTAGCAAAATCGAAGAAAAAATATCAATCATCACTGGTTTAGCTTCAACCTTACTCATATGACGTAGGCGCGTGACTTAACGCAAATCTTAAAAGCGAGTGATGTTGACTTTTACCATCCCTTGCCGATTAAATCTCGTGGGTCCCTTCGAACTAAATATCCCGAAATACCTCGTGAACCTCTCTCTCACGCGCCTCAAACACCGCGTGTTCCCTCACGCTCCTTAATAAAAACCTCACGACTCGGTGACTATCTCACCGGTCCCCACTAAACGACAAAACAAATTAATATACCCTCACATGACTGTCACATTTTTACAGTCACATCCCCATTTATTACCTGACACGTCACTTTCCTGTCACACAAGCATCTCTCTTTGTTATCCTCATTTTCATTTTTTTCAAAAATAATCAAAAATATTCTCCGAATTTACGTACGTCAGTGAGTAGCTGAAGAAAATTTAATAATTTTTGTCAGTTAGAAAACTTATCATCACCTTACCTTCTTCTTCAATGGAAGCTTCGGTTTAAACGAGACATTTTGTTACTTCTATTATCTACAAAAATGCCATCTCGCCACTCTCCGCCTGATATCGCGCCGTTGCAACCGACGGCGGTTAGCAACAACCATCACCGGTTACACACTCTTCCTCTTATCATCGCCGGTTCTCTGATCTTAACCGGAGCTCTACTCATCCTCTTCACTATACTTCTCTACCGGAAACTCTACCGTAACCGTACGGCTCCTTCAGATCTCATCTCCAAGTCTCCTCAACACTACCAATGCCGCCGATTCTCTTACTCTCAGCTCCGCCGCGCAACAAACTCGTTCTCCGAGTCGACTCAGCTCGGCCACGGCGGATTCGGGTCCGTCTACAAAGCTGATCTCCCCA